GATTTGACATAAACGCTCTTTTGCCAAATATTCAAATTTCGCGCTTGTGTAGTACAGTAAGGAAGCAGTAGAGTAAGTACCTCGGCAGTGGAAGCTACTTGTAGGGGTCAAAATGTTGTAAGCATCGAAAGAACAGGATCTTGATCACACAATCGAATGTGCTCTCAAATAATATCTAGATTGACAATAGAACAAAACCTCTATTCCTACAGGAAAGCTATACGACATTGACGGTAATAGGAGAAGATGGTGGAGTAACTCAACCCTCGCTAACTTTCAAGAAAGGTCTCGTTGTTTGATTGATCAGTACTCGAATTACACATTCTATGGATACCAGGTAACAATGCTGTGAATAATCTTTGATTTTCGCCTTTTTTTGTTCTAAATAATAAGTTCGAATACCAAGGGTTGGCATTTTTAACTTAAGCCATTTTGTTTTAAAAGATAATATTAGTAAAGCATTTTTAAGAAGTCAGTTTTCATTGATTAACGAGAATTATTATAGTCTCATTGCCCGATGCTTCCNGCAATTCAGCTTCCAGCTACTATTAAGGTATTCTTCTCAATAGACGTCTATAAAAAACGTCTATATCCAGCGAAGTCCTCGAGTAGGAGTCAATTTTGCTTCGTTCCGGTCATTTTGACTCCGAAAAGGAAATATTAAACGGAAGTTTGTGTGTTCTAACCATCGGAACGTTTTGAGAAAAAACTGGAAATTCGTTCAAAGTAATTTTGATATATCAACAAAGTTGAAATGGTAAGTTGGCCACCGTAACGATTACAAAAGCTGACGTTTCGAGCGTTAGCCCTTCGTCGTTAGCTCCAACGAAGGGCTAACGTTCGAAACGTCAGCTTTTGTAATCGTTACGGTGGCCAATTTACGCGGTTTAAATACTTTGTAAGCATTTGCGTTGTCATTAAATGGTTTCTTTTTGGGTTTCCTTTCAAAATTCTTCATCCTCGAAACCAATGTGTCGGCTTATTTTAACATCGATGGGAATAAATGCGAGTAACGTGCATCCATATGTTTCGACATGCATTCCAGAATGAGCCGTAACGTAATAAAGATCGTCGGTTGAAAATGTCGTTTGAGATCAGGAGTGAAAACAAATCTTGCCGTCTGGAAAATCAGATGCCATCTTCATGGTACATAAAACCTTCAGTGCCGTTCAGTTATTCATCTCTCGAAGAATTCGAAATTCATCTCGGTTTTTGTTTTTTTTTTTTTGTTTGTTCTTTTTCCCAGAGGATGAAAAACTTCGTCAATATGGCTACACGGGTTGACAAAGTCGGTGATTTTGTCACGAAAAATAGCTGTCGCCATCGTAGCACTTGCGCGAGGGTGGGCTACACGGGTGATTTGCACTGCGCGCTGACGACGCGACAAATTTAGAAAAAATTACATCACCATCGCAAGCAAAAAATCGCTGTTGTAAAAAGCGGCTTAACATTGTGAGATATGGAACCGGGCTGCCTGTCAGTTTCGCGGAATGAGTTTAATTCAAACAAGTTTCATTCGTGACCATTCACACTAATTCAAATTTCATTTGGTTTCACCACTCTTTGTCAGTCTCTCAGTTGCAACATTCTGTGTCTTGACCGACCCTCCCTGAGTAGCAAGTGACCTTGAACGAAAAGTAACTCCTTCCTCCTCCCCAGGGTAAGATTTGACATAAACGCTCTTTTGCCAAATATTCAAATTTCGCGCTTGTGTAGTACAGTAAGGAAGCAGTAGAGTAAGTACCTCGGCAGTGGAAGCTACTTGTAGGGGTCAAAATGTTGTAAGCATCGAAAGAACAGGATCTTGATCACACAATCGAATGTGCTCTCAAATAATATCTAGATTGACAATAGAACAAAACCTCTATTCCTACAGGAAAGCTATACGACATTGACGGTAATAGGAGAAGATGGTGGAGTAACTCAACCCTCGCTAACTTTCAAGAAAGGTCTCGTTGTTTGATTGATCAGTACTCGAATTACACATTCTATGGATACCAGGTAACAATGCTGTGAATAATCTTTGATTTTCGCCTTTTTTTGTTCTAAATAATAAGTTCGAATACCAAGGGTTGGCATTTTTAACTTAAGCCATTTTGTTTTAAAAGATAATATTAGTAAAGCATTTTTAAGAAGTCAGTTTTCATTGATTAACGAGAATTATCATAGTCTCATTGCCCGATGCTTCCAAGCTTTTGCTGGATTTAACATTTGTGTACGCACAAGGGGAAAATGTTCCAAGTGAAAAGGAGTCTCACTATTGAACATACTTAGATGTATTTACCCTAATGGGCATTTCGGTGTCTCAATTCCACCACGATCGATGCTGAAAAGCTTAAAAAAATTACATATCTGATTATGTGGTTAACTTTAAAGGTAAACGGCAAGAATACTTTGTCGGAAAACATTGCTGATAATGGTGGCGTTCGCGTAGCTCTTGAAGTAAGTGACGGAATATTTACTCTAAAAGCTTTGGATTAAGATTTCATCGGTTTTGAAAATCTTTTGATCCTGAGAGTGGCTTAAATTGCTGAGTTCTAGGTCTGGTGGCAAGAAAAAGAAAATATTGGCACATGAACGAACTCCTTAAAGTTAATCAAGTCTGATGCTTTCATTCCCTTGTCAGTGTCTATATGACGATATCATTTGCCTTTATACTTCACAGGCATACCGGAAGTCGGTAAGGGACCATTGGGAGGAGCCCAGGCTTCCTGGTATGATGTTGACAAACGAGCAAGTGTTTTTCATTAGTTTTGCAAGGGTAAGCTCGTATGTAGAGGAAAAATCATCGCGTTAAATCTTAGAATTTGAATATTTTTCGAAAAGCTGGGTTATCTTACTTTTCGTGGAATAAAAGTATGAAGATGAAAGTTGCCTTCGATTTGGGCTATAACTATAGATAGCTGGAATTTACGAATTGGTAGCTGATAGTTCTGCCTCTGAAGAGCTGTCTCTCAGAAGCCACGGAAAAAAGGGCTCAGGTCTAGATTGATTTAAAATTCAGTTGTGATCCTAAACTCTTGTGATTTCTGGTTGTTTCTTTTATCTTTATAAATCCTAGTGTCATACAACATTGCATTGAAGGTTTCATTTTAACCTTCGAATGAAATTCACGTACAGAAAAGATCCTCGCAGGTGAACTGCAATCTTCTGCCATTGCTTAAATTACAGTTTACCTCCAAGAATCATTTCTGCACTTGTCCCTCGTGCCATAACAGTTTCTTCCTCAGGCTTTGCGTGGGAGGCTTAGGCTGACTGCTTTGAAATTTAAGTCGAGTTTCGTTTTCATCAATGTCACATCACCGAAAGATATAGATTTTCTGGTGCTTAAAATGAAAAATAATTGTAATGAAAAATAATTGTAATAAATAATACTAGATTGCGAAAACAACTTCGATTTCACGGTCTTGGAAGGAACGGAATAAGGTTTCGAGTTAACGATATTTCTCTCAGAAATGATGCTAATAAATTGTCTGGAAAATAGAAACTAATTGCCCAATGATAACAATTGTTTCAAAGGTGGTCAATTATATATGCACCTCCAAATGCCCCATGTATATACCGCGCTGGTTGTACTAGTTTTATCATTAACAACGGCCTTCCAATGGTGATTTGAAAGTAGTATACTAAAAAACAATGAATTGACCTCGCATAAAAAAACAGTAATATCACAAACTGGAAAACATTCATTTGATTTACCGTGCGGCAAATTGTAATTTGTAGTCTACGCCCGTAAAATCAAAGCTTGTATTCTCCATAAGCAAGATAATATTAGATTAAGCGAAGATACCTCTATCTATTGGATTCTGGTTTGCTAACTTTCAGTGCACTGGTAACTTTTTATTTTCCAACAGAACTGGTGCAGTCACTACAGCGATAGAGCTGCTCGTGTGGCTACGAAATACTTCGATCACAGTCCCATGCCATGGAGGTAAAAAGAAGTAATTGGCATTTAAAGCCCTTTTTCTAAGAGGTCGCTTTCTCTGTTTCGACAATAATCGCTTCCTCTTTTGTTGCAGGGTTAATGGCACTCTCCTTAATTTCCCGGAGTTTTCAAAGGCGTTCAATTGTCCTTTGGGTTCACCAATGAATCCCGAACACAAATGTAGAATTTGGTAAAAATTACCGCTGAAAGGAACACGAACAGTAGGAAACCCTAGTCTGATGTTTACCAATTAAAAACAATAAAGTACTAAATACCTTGTTAATGTCATGTCTAAAACAAACGGTACAGAAGTGTTTGCCTTAATATAGCTATTGAGGATGAAATGGCCGTCATATCCTCTCAAATTATAGAAAACCACTGGAATCTTTGAAATTTTTAATTACTGAATGAGACAAATGTTTAAGAAATTCTAAGCAAAGTGTGCTTTGTGGCGAACATCAACGATCTTTTCCATCCAACTTATCTCTGATCAATGATGATGAACTCAATGAAGCTTTTCACATAAATCATTGTGGTAGTACTATTGTATTTTAGGCTGCTGGCCCGTGGCTCTTTTAACCCTCTAGCCCCGTAGAGTGAAGGGCCTCTAACTTCTCCTTACAGTATCACCATCATCAATTTAAGACGTTCCTGACTGTGAAACAAATTCTTCTTATCATTACCACAGGAAATGTAAATAAAAATGTGTGGAGATTATGATTACCAGTGCTAGGGTGTAAAGGTTTAACTGAAGTCATTTTCTGAGTTCCCTGCCTCATATCTTTTTTGATCAGCATGTACCATTATTTTCGTCACGCCAATTATGTCACAAATTTCACAGGTGTATGGATGAAGAAAACGCAACACAACAAGATTGCATTCGTGATGTGTAGATCCTCTTTATCTGCAAGTGATTTGACAATGATCTTAATATCTCTGCTTGTGTCTTTCTTTCCTCCAATATGATAACTTTCTGTCCTTTTCAAAGTATCATTCTCCTGTTTGTTTAATTTCACAGGCTTGTTAAAATGTTTATCGCTGTGTCAATACAGTATTTAGATTCGTCAAACATCTGTTCTTGGAATCTATAAACAGTATTTTCATCTCTGAATGTTTGGAAATCTTTGCTGTCTTTATCATCATAACAACAAACCAACTTGTAAGCACATCCACAGTCCGTATACTTTTGATAGGCTTCTGTATAAGAACTACTGTCTTCCGGTGAACAAGATTGGACTTTTTCTGTTATTGCCTCAAAATCTGCATAAATGACAAATGGAACAGGCATCTGTCTATCAAAATTTTAAAAGAAAACTTGTTCACCTTTTTTTTGGCATCTTGATTGACTGCTGACCATTCACAACAATACAATGTTCATTCAAGACATCTTCACGACTAAAACACCGCAGACAATACATGCAAAAATTTTTCTTTTCCTCATGTTTGGTTTGATTTGTCATCAATCGATTAAGATTCTTGATTAATGCATAATGGCTGTGTTTTCACTAGGACAAGTTTGACTAGTTATAGTCGGAAAAGTCCGGAAGTTCAGTGAAAACAGCTTGTCCTAAGTTAAGCGAGTTAAAAATGCAAGCTGTTTTCACATGAAAAAACAAGGGACTATCTCGCCTTTATGACCGGAAATTCCTGCAGAGTTATACTACCTCGCGAGATGGTATAACTTGTCCTGGTAAATGCCGCAGCCAATCACAATGCCGGTAGTGACAGATGCCTGCCAAATCGTGACCTGCCAAATATTTTCCAGTCGCTCGTGCTCACCTCGTGGTTCACTTTGGTTTTGAAATGGCAGACGAACTCGCTCGTAATAGTACCTAAATTTGATGAAAGCATTAGCTCTTCTCATCAAGGCAGAGCAGAATTCGTCCTTGACATTCATGGCAGTACATCGGCCGATTCCAAACGTTACTCCCACGGTTCTATACGAATTTCCAGTAGCTAACCTCCACAGAGCAACAGCCACCCGCTTCTCCACGGTGATTGCTTCACGAAGAATTGTACTCTGCCGCATTAACTGAGGGCCAACGAGACCACAAATGTGTTCGAATGTATCCCTGCCTGCCCTGAAGTGCTCTCGCCATAGATGATCTTAATATCGATTTAAAACTAAAGGAGCTGTTCAAACCAAAACTGTGGTCTTGGATAAACCCACACTGTCCTATGCTTACGGCGATAGAGGGTGTTTTGCTGCTGAATTGTCCGGATTAACACAATCCGTCCCATCCTCTCCATTTGTCAAGACATTAGTCGCATCCTCTGAAAGAAAGGTCGTCTCCTTCCAAGAAATATGGCGCGAATCAGTACAAGAGAAGTAATTAAAAATGCTTCGTCTCCCGCCATTTTTTCAAAGTTGCGCGCTTTTGTAATTTGAATCTTCTCAGTAAACGGCTTAAATTTCTACAGTGAAAACAGACTGTCAAGTTTAACTAGTAAATGTCGGTCTGTAAACAAACACCTAGAAAGAATGTTCAGCTAGTTAATCGGCGTAGTGAAAACACAGCCAATGTTTCTTCTCATCATTTTAATCAGCAGGAGGTTCATTTCATTTTCAAACGTCTCCTTGGACACATAAATTGGAAATAATTGAATGTCTTCCGGCATAAACAAAAACATTAATACGGATGTCATCCTCTTTGGCAATCTTATTTTAATATTCGAGTGAGACAGGGAAATCAACACCCGAATAATCCAAATCATCGATAAACTGTTTTTCTATTTTCTTGATCCTTTCAGGGTTGTTGGATTTTGGGTTCAAATGTCTGACATGACACCAACGGAAGCACTATCAACTTCGTTCTGTGTATTGATCAAGCTCTTTGTTACCTTTAATTTGTCAGGAAGATGAATGCAAGAATACATACCGTCCTCCACTGAACCTCTTCACTCTTCGCTTTGTGGAAGGGGGCCTTCTATGTCTCAAAAAATTTCACACCTTTCATTTCCAATTACTCATCCTTTCATTTTTGCATAAATGATTTCGGTTACTATAAGCCTGTAAAATCAGCCCTTAAAATACAAGCTTTCTACGTCTATCTTAATACTTTATTGCTTAATGTATCTTAAAGGAACAAGTTCGTTAGGTACGACTATCTGTGGCCCTGTTTCTCTGCACTTTCTAAATGCTATCTAGAGTATAGTACGTAGCAAATAAAGACCATAACGAAATGTAAAGAGTGAATGAATCAAGCATCAGGCGAAAAACAAGCAGTTGTGAAGTACGTTATTATTAAGTGTTGCAGTTATACAGAAAATAGAACTCATGAACTATATGTGCCCATCTGAAACTGGGTGTGTTGAAAACTAGGCTAAAGCCTTAAACTAAGCCTGCATTGGAACTGACGTACACACAAGAATTTAAAACTGAACTAGGAGAACACTGCATACAAAGGCTAAGCTCACATTCTAACTGAGCTATACTCACATTTAAAACTGAACTAGGCATAGACAGCAAAAAGAACTGATTAAGCTCATAGGAAATTAAAACTGGGTTATGCACACACAAAACTAAGCTCGCATTGTAATTGAGTTGTAAGCTCGTTTAAAACTTAACTTAATACACCCCAGAAACTCACATTGTAATATATGATTTATGCAAGCAGTTAAAACTGAACTTGGTTGACAAGTAAACAAAACTAAGCCCACGTTGTAGCTAAGTTTTACACACATTTAAAACTCAATCAAGGGTATATTAGAAACAATACTAAGTTTGCATTATAACAGAGTAACGCCTACCTTTGAAACTGAACAAGGCGTATACCAGAAAGACTTAGATCCCGACGTATCTTAGTAATGTGTGCAATTAACACTGGATTTAGAGCACATTGGAAGTAAAACTAAGCTCGCATTGTTAGAGAGTTATGTGCGTATTTTAAACTGGACTAGGCGCATACTGGATACAAAAACTAGCTCACACTGTAACAGACTTATGCATGCATTAAAAACTGATCTTAAGCACACAATAGACACAAAAGTAAACTTGTATTGTAACAAAGCTATGCGTACCGCTTAAAACTCAACTCTACAAACTATGACTAAATAATTTGGATATATCAACAAAGTTGAAATGGTAAATTGGCCACCGTAATGATTACAAAAGCTGACGTTTCGAGCGTTAGCCCTTCGTCGGAGCGAATGACGAATTCGCTCCGACGAAGGGCTAACGCTCGAAACGTCAGCTTTTGTGATCATTACGGTGGCCAATTTACCATTTCAACTTTGTTGATATATCCAAATTATTTCGTTACTCCCACCGACGCAGCCCCAAACAGTTTCTTTCGAAACTATCAGCCTTTATTCATTTGTAGTGGCTGACATTCTTCAGCAGCTGAGGGGCTGTCATCATTGCCATGTAACTTGTTGTAAACTAATAAAGGCTGATAGTTTCGAAAGAAACTGTTTGGGGCTGCGTCGGTGGGAGTAACGAAATAATTTGGATATATCAACAAAGTTGAAATGGTAAATTGGCCACCGTAATGATCACAAAAGCTGACGTTTCGAGCGTTAGCCCTTCGTCGGAGCGAATTCGTCATTCGCTCCGACGAAGGGCTAACGCTCGAAACGTCAGCTTTTGTAATCATTACGGTGGCCAATTTACCATTTCAACTTTGTTGATATATCCAAATTATTTCGTTACTCCCACCGACGCAGCCCCAAACAATTTCTTTCGAAACTATCAGCCTTTACTCATAAGCATAAACTAGACAGAATACCAAGCTCACATTGTAACTGAGGTATGAGTCCATCTAAAGGTATATCTCACATAGACTGGAAATAGGCTAAAATCTAAATAAGTTATTTTCGCGCATATAGAACAGAACAAGGCTTTTACAGAAATGCAACTAAATTTGTATGAATAGAGTCGTGCGGGCATTTAAAACTGAACTAAGTTTAAACATGAATCAAAACTAAGATTACATTGTAACAAAGCTTTGCGCGATTTGAAACTCAATTAGTTAATATAAGTTAACATTAGGCCTACACTAGAAAAAAAAATAAGGTTCACATTCCAACAGAATTTTAAATGCAATAAAAGCAGAACAAGGGGAACACTGGAAAAATTTTGTCCCTTTCAGATTTGAATAAGGATTGATTGCTGATGCATGTTATGCTATCTAAAGTAATACTTGAAGGAAATTTTTCACACCACAATAAGCGCTCGTAGTCGTTCAAACTACCTATGTAAAGTGCAGCGTTTATAAGATCAAGATGCTATCATAGTTTAACTTACATAAACATAACAAAATCCTTTCCACAACACTTTTAATTGCTTAATATTTCAGCCATTTGGAGATGAAAGTATTTCTCACAAAAATGCGCGTGTACGCTTTTTTTGTCGGTAAAGCGTGTTATATCTTAAATTAAAAAATAGAGAGTGATAGATTGTTCTTAGGCAATACCCAAATAGTTCTCTAAAACTTAATCTTTTACCAAGAAAATATTTCTCTAGAGCAAAAGAAGTAGAAATGGGTATTTGCTACATAAAGTGGGTACTTGGTACGTTAAATGGGTATTTGCTATGGAGTGGTTTTTGTACTATAAAATCGTTTAATTGGGACATATAGTTCAAAAAACAGGTTTAACATGTTTTCTTTCACAAGCGCAGAACTTTCCAACCGAAAAAACGAATTTAAAGTAAAATATAATGATTTTATAAGTAAAAAAGATAATTGACCTTCTCAAAAAATTTTGACTTGTTAAGTCGAGTTGATACTATATGTGGAAACGCAGTTTTGTTCTAAAATTAAGATGGTGTGGAAAGTTAAATATTCGAGATCCCAGAGGGGTTTTACGGCAATAAAAAAGAACTTGAAGACCTCCCGGTTAGCTCAATGGATAGAGCGCTGGACTGTTGTGCGGGAGGTCGAGGGTTCGAGCCCCGGCCGGACCAACACTCAAGGTCTTAAAATAATTGAGAAGAATTTGCTACCTTTCTAAAACATCAAGAAATGGTTAGATATTCTAGTCTTCTCGGATAGGGACGAATAAATGGAGGTCCCGTCTCCTGCAGGGTTGGGGTAGGAGACGTTAATTTCTCACACACGAGATTACTGTGTGATG